GAATTAGTAAGATTGGCTCAGGATAGGGCAGGGTTGAGTTCCTGAAATTTTCACTCTGGTGAAAGAATAAAGGAGTATTAAATTTTGATGTAGTCAAAAAATTTATTCATCTTTTCCTTTCTGAGCCTTGATTTAAAAAAATCCTTTACCACTGTGATAACATAACCAAGAAAATTTTCACTTACAATTGGTTAAGTTCTGGTGTTTTCATTATTTAGTTTACATACCTTAAGCTACCACCAACTGCTTCAATTCCACGAGTTATCTTGAAAGATGATGTTCCTTTTGTTGTCTTAAAAAAGAATGATATTTTTAGTTCTTTAGCGCTAACCTTAGAAAATATGCTTTATAATAAAAAATAAATCCAATGTTTAGTTGTCATTAGCCTATTCAAAAGGAATTTTATATAAATAGTGACTACTTTTATAATTTAGGGATTATAAGAAATTATAAGGTTTATGGAAAAATACAAGTACATATTTTTATATAAAGCATATTTAGGTAAAAATTCCACTGAATGTAAACTTCCTAGATTCATTTGGGTGTTTTGGAAAATGACATGCGTATGGTAAAAAAGGGTCATTTTCTCTCAACTTTTAGTACTTTCTTTACTATTTCCCTTTCCACTGATTTCTTATGAAACCAATACTCAGGTAGATACTACTTCACTGTTTCTCTCTAGCAAACACTTTGTGGTTTTGCATGATATAACCACCTTTAAACCATCTTGGACTATTCCCTCCACATTATTAATTTTCTTAGAAAGTGCTTAGACTCCATAAAGATTTCAAAGACATTGAACAAATAAAGATACTTACCAAACTGGATGCAAGACGCAGCAGATGAGAGGTTCCCAAACTGTTGGAGTCCTCATTCCTACTGCCAGCTTTAATAAACAAGCCAATTCTCGAGGCGGGGGCATAGTTTTCCAGGGAGGCAATCACTAAACCATTTGGTAGTTTGGTAAACTGCATTTAAAATAGAAATAGGATTAATAACCATATGACCAAAGAAGAGGAGGCTTGTGCTGATCCAAATACATGATCCATGGGACTAACCTCGAGGTCCTGAGGTGGTGGAAGGGCTCCTCCAGGGCCAGCTGCGGCTTTGACTCTGGGAGCAACTTTGAGGGAATAAAATCGCTGAACACAAAAGACAAAAAAGACATGTTACACATTTTTCTCATAAGAATAAGCCTTTACGTAAAAACAGTGCCACTTAGTGTACCCAAGCAACAAGGAGTGTTCAGAGGTAAAGGAATTCACTTTCATGAGGGGTAAATCCTCATGAGAAGATTTAGCTTAATAACTTGTAACAGAATTACTACCCCACCAAGTCCTTTCATCTTGTATTCATTGTATTTTTTTTTAATCGATAGGAAGACTTTCTTTCCTTTTATTTATATATCTAGTTATAGGAGAATTACCTACAATGCCACAAAATTCATTTTCATTGTAAGTAAGGGTTACTAGGGAGAGCTGATATGCTGCTCTGCTCAGAGACCAGTTGTTTGACTCCACCAGCTGCCCTGCAGGAGAAAGAGGGGGCAGTTTCCTCCCATGTGATTGACAGACTCTGACAAGCTGGCTGGAGGGTCAGTCTGTTCAGATTCGACAGCACTTACCAACAACAAGGGTTACCAGCAGAGGTGTTAAAGGGTTAATAAAATCTGGTATCCATAAGCTCTGCTGAATATGTTGCTGGAGCTTCCTGGAGCTGTCATGGCCCTACCCTGCATGTGTCCAGAAGGAGTCGTTGGTTGCACATTCAGGATCAAGAGTATATTAAATTGGTGGCTAGTGTTCATTTGCTGTTAGTATTGCGCTCCCCCTCCCCTTGTCTAGGTGCTTGATGATAGAACCAGTGACAAGAAACTGCCTTGTCGCCTTGAAGACAAGGCACCCGGGGAGGAGCAGGGTGGGGCGGAGCCCTCTCCCTTTGCTTCCATACATAACCAGGAATCAAGACTGCATGCCAGCCTTCGACAAAGGAGGTAATATTGCTTTTTAAGTATAGTTTACAATTAGTTTAGCCTTATCAGTTATGTTTGCTGGGTAAGGAATAGTTAACCCCAACTTATGAATCTGGGCTTTGATCTTCCCCAAAATAAATGTTTTCTTCTCAAATGTGCCTGAAACAGTGAGAGGCACTTTGTCCAATTAAGTTCTGTTCAGGTTTGTCCGCCATTCCCTAAGTTAAAACCAACCAGTTGCTCCCAGTTCTCACTCATGTGCTAGAATGGTACTATGCTCCAAAGGGTTTTCAAAGGTGATAGCCACGTCTTTCTTCCTAAGTGCCCCGGATGGATACATAACACCAGCCTTTTCGTTAGTAATCAACCCTTAACCATTCCCATTACCCAGGGGGACTCGCCATCCCAAGATATAGAGCCCTCATATGGGGTTAATTCCTGCTGGGCTACTTGGCTGGGTCATCCGTTGATAATTACTTCACTTTGCTGAGTTGCAGTATTTTCACTGGTGAAATACAGATTAAAAGCAACAAAGAGACCAACAACATAAACCAAAACCCACTTCCATTAAATAGGTTTGGACTCATAGCAAACCCTCCATTCCATCAGGTTTCCAAGGCTGTAAACGTTCAGAGGAGGCTTGCCCATCTTTCTCTCAGGGAGATTCAAACTGCTCATCTTTCCATTAGCAGCCCTATAAGTTATACAGAGAGCTCTGGTGGCCTAGTGGTAAGAAGCTGCGCTGCAATCACAAACGCACAATGTTCGAATCCAACAGTTTCTCTGAGGGAGAAGGATGGGTAAGCCCCTCCTCTGTGATTTGTAGCCTCTGTAAATGTGTGATTTACAGACGTTGGAGGGTCAGCTATGACTAGACAGCACAAAACTAAAAAAACTCAAATATGTTACACACTATGCCACCAGGGTCCTTGTTAATGTTGCCCGGACATCGCAATGCAGCTACAGGCGCTGTATTTACATTCGCTCATTCCATCCTGCTAACTTTACTCATGAGCCCATTTAACAGGAAGACTGATGGTTCTGAGTCAGACACACAAAAGCAGAGGCTGCAGATGACAGGACACAGGTTGATACTGGTCTCCAGCATCGCGAATCTTGCAAGTGCAGAGTGACCTTCAGAGGTCTCTCCCCGTCGATTCACCACCACTCTCCAGCCTTCTCCCTCTCTGCAGGTTTTCCAGAGTCTCTGCAGACAGGGCACGCTGGTCCTCCAATGCCCAGGCCAGCCGGCAGCCCTTTACTCTCAGGGTTCAGCTGAAGGGCAGACCAAATGCACCCCAAGGCCCGGGATCCCACATTAAACAACTTCGATCCGTACAACCTTGGTGAAAAATCGTTTGCCCGTTCTTCCTCAAGCCCACCGCCTGTGCTCACCGAGAGGGTCCCGGCTCTGGTTAGCAGCTTCATGGCTCAAGATCGTCCCAACCCACGGTCACTGCCGGGTCACAGGAAAGCAAGATGGTGGCGGAAGACCGGAGTTTCCCGGCTTTCCTTGCGAATAGCCTTTCCCACGCCCTCCTGCGGAAAGGGCCCTTCTATACTGACCGCGCTCTACTGCTCCCGGAGGGGAGTTTGGAGCCGACCATTCTCTCTTAGACGCAGGTGAGGGAAACGCAAAATTTTGTGAGTAGATGTAGCGCGAGTAATATGGTTGAACGATTCTTAGATTAGTTTTCTGGCTAGGATACCTACTCTGTAATTCTTTAGGACTATGACTACGTCAGCTCATTGTAACCCCCCCGCCACTTTGGATTCTTCCGGTATGTACGGCCCAATGAACAGCTTCTTCCCAGAATTCCACAGGGCGTCTCCGGAAGTTCTTTGCGGCTCTTTGGAGACGCGTTGCTCCCGGTACATTTGACTGTCATCGGGTGAGTTGAATCTGTCCGGGCGTAAGGACCGATTGTCCCGTGAATTGGTCACTAAATCATTAGATCCCTAAGACCAGACACCTTGACCGACGAAATCGCAACTGTAATCCCTCTAAGAGGCCGGTGACACAGTGAGGTCGCAATCTAGGGATCCTCACAACGAAGGTCTTTGCTCCAACCTTGTTTATGTTTTAATCCAAGTTGGCGGAGAAAATAAAAATGTAAACGTTAGTTTTTGCGTGAAAGGAGTGGTGTGAGCAGAAATCGAGATATTGAAAAAGACGATCTTGGGCAAGAATGTTCTGTTCCAGTATTCAAGTTATTGTGAAGATTTGCTCTCTACTAGACACTCTGGTGGCGTAGTCCCTAAGGAGTTGCGCTGCTAACCCAAATGCCACACATCTTTCTGGCGATTCGAATCCACTAGCGGCTCTGGAAGAAGATGGGCATTTCCTTCCGGTGTATTTACAGTCTCCAAAACCCCACTGAAGGATTAGTTATGAGTCTCTTTCTACTGAACAGCAATGAGAGAGTCTTGCTTGCCACAACTGGGCCTACTATATCGCTACTTGGCGTGACTCAAAACCATTTCTGTGTATCGACAACCTTGATGACATCTAAAGCCCAGTCGTAATCTAGTGTCAACCCGGTACTTCCTTGTAAAAAGATCCCATGTACATCAGGAAAACCACATTCCGTTCATTAGTATTGATAATGGCTTCCTGTTGAATTACATCTCAACATCAAGACAAAACCTTACCGTTAGACCAATAGGTAAAATCATGGTAGATGGCGAAAAGATCAAGCTGGCAACAATTTAATTTTATTTTGATCCACAATCGGTATCCCTGGTAGCAGCAGTCAAGATATCAAAAGATGTATGGCGTTGGGAAAGTCTGTCAAGGACCTCTCTAAAGTGCTTAAGAGGCAAGGATGGTGAAAATTCATCTCACATACTTTGGACTTATTGTCAAGAGTGGCACAGGCTTGGAAATGGTGCAGGGTCAACAGAATGGTCAACAGTGACTGCAGCAGTAGACTTGAGGATGTAAGAGATGGTGAGAAGGGTGCATGATAGAGCAAGGTTTCTATTTTCCATAAGATGGCTGTGAGTTGTAGTTGATGTAAAGACACCTAATCTCAGTAACATCAGCTTTAATGATTTTTTACTACTTTCAAGACATATTGTCAATCCAATTCATCTCCCAAAACTTGTTGTTAGGTGTTAATGAGTACGACTTACAGTGGAACTATGAACAGTCAACCTGAACTTTGCCCTGTCTTTTGCTGTCATCATCTCTGACGCGTCAGAGCACATTGCTGAAATCACTGTGTCAGTTCGTTTATTTGTCTTCACCGACCTTCCATCTTTATAAGCATGATGTTCCTTTCCAAGGAATAGCCTTACCTAGCTACACTTCCAAAGTATGAAAGGTGAGACTTCATCATCTTTGCCTCCAAGAAGCACTCTGGCTGTACCCTCTCCAAGACATACCTGTTTGTTCTTTTGGAAGTCCATGGGATATCTAGTACTCTTCTCCAGCACCGTAACTCAAAGGCATCAGTTCTTCTTCTGTCATCCTTAATCATTGTCCAGCTCTCTGATTAATAGCAGATGACTGAGAAGACCATGACCTGAATCAGGTGTACCTTAGTCTTCAACTGACATCATTGCGCTTCAGCATTTTGGAGAGGTCCCTGATAGTCTACCTGCCCAATGCAGCATGGCTCCTGATTTTCTGACTGCTGGGACCAAGTGTGTTGATTGTTGATCCAAGCAAGATGAAACCATCTCTCCATCTATAATAATGTTGACCATTGGTCCTGTGGTAAGAAGTTTTGCTTTCTTGATGTTGAGGTGTAATCCATACTGAAGATTATATCCTTGATCTTCTGCAGTAAGCGTAATATATCCTTCTCACTTTTAGCAAGCAAAGCTGTGTCATCTGCATAATGCAGGTTGTTTATGAGTCTTCCTACAGTCTTGATGCATGTTCTTCATATAATCCACTTTCTCAAATGATTTGCTTAGTCTATAGGTTCAATAGGTATGGAGAAAGGTACAACCCTAACATACACCCTTCCTGATTTTTAACCCATGCAATGTTCCCTTGCTCTGTTCAGACAAGAGCCTCTTGGTCTCAGTGTAGCCATGAGCAATTAACTGTTCTGGAATTACCATTCTTCTCAATGTTAGCTCTCCTGAGCTGTCTTGCTTTTTTCGCCTGCTTTCAGCCCTCTCTAAGCCTCCCGCAACTGAGTCCGGCGCAGCCTTGGGGGTCCTCTGCTGTTACGTGTATGGGCGGGGATTTTCAGCTCTGCTGGGCTGTTTTGCTTTTTCGCTTGCTTTTTGACCTCTCTAAGTGTCCCAAGACTGAGTCCCATGCTCAATGTTAGCTATAATTTGTTATGATCCACACAGTCAAATGCCATTTCATAGTCAATAAAATACAAATAGACATTCTCCTAATATTCTTTGCTTCCAGCCAGGACCTATCAGACATTATTTAGCATTGATATCCCTGGTGCCACAGGCTGTTCTAAATCCCACTGGAAATTCCGGTAGTTCCCTGTCAATGTGCCAGTCTAGCCATTTTTAATTGATCTCCAACAATATTTTGCTTGCCGAAGTGACTTAACACCAGTGGAGCATGACATAATTTGAAGTTGGTATATAAATGAACATTTCTCCACTTTAATACTGTAACCCTTTATTTGAATTATGACAAATAATGCTAGAATATATTTGTTCATTTAAAGTAGCATATTAAAGTTCATTTTAACATTAAGTAAATTAACCATTTGAAATGTGGAGGTGTGGCAGATATCTTGAAGAGGTTATACCCATGAGAGGTTTGTGAAACAGTCCTCAAAACAAGTCACTTACCTACTTAAAATCCTTCATTGATTCCACATCTCTTTTCAGATAAAGCTTGGATTTGTTAAAATGACTTAGAAAGCTCCGTCTCCTTTACTACTTAGAAGTTACTTCCAGGTTAGCTACAGTCCAGGTTAGTCAGTTAGAATCTATTGATTGGAACATTATCATCAGACAGTTCTGGTTAGGTAGGTCACTCACACACACACACACACACACACACACACACACACACACACACTCCTCCACCCCTCCTTTTTTTTTAAAAAAATTTTTTTCTTTTTTATTATTTTTTGTCTCTGTGTACCGTCAAATCAGATCTGACTGGTACAGGAGGAGATTGTCCCTCCTTCCCCAGCAGAGCATCTGGTGAATTCAAACTGTGCACCTCTGCGATTGTAGTTGCAGCTCCTTGCCACTAGGCCACCAGAGCTCCCCTTCCACCCCTCCTTTTAATCTTCATTTGTATTCACAAGTTACAAAATGTAAGTGCAGTGCAAATATTGTACGGATTCAAAACTTGTTTCTGTTCAGAATGTGGTGAGAAACAATGATTATGAGCCTGATCATAAGCTATATAAATAATGACATTTTAATCCCCTGGAGCTCTGGTGGCTTAGTGAGGAGGGAATGTGCACTGCCAGTCCAAAGGCAGGGAGTTTGAATCTACCAGCTGCCCTGCAGGAGAAAGATGATCAATCTCTTCCCATGCACTTTATTGCTGTTGTGTGCCATTAAGTCAGAACCAGTCCGTAGCTGACCCTCCAGTGGGTTTTGAGAGTAAATCACATTGGAGGAGATTGTCCAGCCTCCTTAGGAACAGCTCGTAGATTTGAACCATTTACTTTTGGGATTGCAGTGCAGTTGCCTACCAGGGCTCCCTCCATGCAGTTTGTTGTTGTGTACCAGAGTTGGAACACACCCATAGCTGACCCCCTAGCGGGTTTTCAAAGGCAGTTAATTGCAAGGGAGGAGACTGCCCATCCTTCTCCCATGGAGCAGCTGGTGGCCTCAAGCTGTGTGTCTTTGGGATAGCAGCACAGCTTCTTGCAGGATCACTTAGTTGTGAGTTGGTTCCAACTTGACAACAGTGAATTTGAGGGTTTTTTGTGTTTTACAATACTGCAAAATTGTTAAACTTTACAATACTGCAAAATTGTTTAAAGTGTGAGTGCCACTTTGTGGACAGGACAGTTCTACATTGTTTCGTGCCCAGTCCAAGAGCGCTGCTTCTGTGGTGTATGTGCATACACATGTGTGCTTGGGGGTGAGGGATTGCAAAAGGAGCTGTTACTATGTTAATACATGTGTGTAGTTTTGTTTGATAGATGCTGTGCAGCACGACTTCTTGCCACTAAGCCATCAGAGCTCCTTAACAATATTGTTGTTTTGTGCCATCGTGTCGCTTGCGACTCTTAGTGACCTTATGTACAACAGCCCTATACCCTGTTCTAGCCTGTGCCAATTTCATTGTTTCCAAGACACCTACCCCCATTATTCCAGTTACTGAATCAGTCCATCTCATTGAGGGTCTTCCTCTCTTGCGCCCTCCCAAACATGACATCCTTCTCCAAGGACTGATCTTTCCTTGCAACATGCCCAAAGTATGTCAGACAAGGTTTCAGAATCCATTCCTTCAAGGAGCAGCCTGATTTCAC